AAATTCATGGAGTAGAGATAATAGAACCAATCGGAGAATGGATAATTTGACTCAATTATTATGACTATATAGATATTCGGTTGGATATATATGAATTTTGAATAGGTTTTGGTTGAGTTGAATTGAATTGGGTTCAATTTGAGCAAACTCATTTGGATCGTATCTAAATGGGTCTATTTTGGATCCAAAAGATTTTACGCATAAAGACAATATTTACAATCTTATTAATTGTCTTCAACCCAATTACACATTTTTATTTGTTTCGCAATAAAAAAATAACAGACAAAAATGCGTTGAAATCGGGTATTCATTTTCTTTTGAGTATCTAATACCATGTATCCAACAAACCCAAACTAAAATTTGGATACGAGAATGTCCAAAAAGTAAAATTAACTAAACTTGAATTTATCAATAAGTTGGAATGGGGCAATAGTAATACTCAAATATTGATTCTTTTTTGCCATCCCTAATCCTAGCCAACCAATATCCTAATCTAGGAAGGACTAGGAATTTGCACACGTAAGAAATGAGGTTAATATATTTGTCTTGTCCAAATTTTTTCTATATTTAATATCATGGCCAATCCTTTTATTATTTAATACCATGGACTGACTAATCCTACATTTTACTAATTTGGCCAAACTCGAGAGTTGAATGTTAATTTTGACGATCAATGGTGTTGACTAACGATCAAACCCGCCATATCACTGCCCAATCAGCATAAATAAACTTAAAAAATTCCTAAATTACACATAATTCCAAAAAATTATTATAATAAAATTAAAAAATAAAACAAAAATAAAAAAATAAAAACGGAGAAACATAAATTCCCAATGCTTCTACCTCCGGCAGTTATAACCAATGTTGTCAGAACCGAACCGGAGTACGACCCGGAAACGTGAACGGCTCGGTCTTTAATGGTCCAGCCGGCATTAGACCGTTTAAAAACCGTTTGAGAACCGGTAACTAATAAACCGTAAACTGTATATTAACTATTCCCAACAATTCCATCACCAATTTGCTAACTATTCTAGCTTCTAAATGGGACAGGGACTAAACCATCACTAAATTGCTAACTATTCCAACAAGTTCACAATCAGATTACATCCACCACGAGAAAAAGTTCACAATCAATTCAAGCAAAAGTCCCAAATGTCCAGCTTATACTAAACCTAGCTCGATTTACGAAGGAAAGGGGAATTCGTGTGGTTTCTAGCGGATGAAAGGGGAATTCGGAGCAGAGGCTGATGGAATTCGGACCAGGGGAATTCGTGTGGTTTCTAGCGCTGAAATCGAGAGTGAATCCGGCGGAGAATCCGCCGCCTGTGGCGGAGCTGTACGGCAAAGAGCACGCCGCGTCAACTCAGCTGCTGTACGAGCTCTCCCCGTGTTTCAAGCTCGGGTTCATGGCGGCGAATCTCGCGATTCTCGAATCCACTCTGGAGGAGGTAGAAGAAGAAGAACAGGGGAATAATACATCGATGAAGAAGAAGAAGAGTTGTTGGTTTCCACGTCGTGGATTTCGAATGCCTACCACGAGAAGCTGATGCGACGGCGACGGCGACGACGCTGGGGAAGATGGCGCCAGCGCTGGAGAAGATGGCGATGGCGACGGCGCTTCTTGTCTCCAGGGCAGGCTCTCCACGAAGAAGAAGACTCTCCACGAAGAAGAAGATTGGGAAAGAAATTTGGGAATTAGGGTTCTGCCCGACCCCGACCCAGAATCCCCTTTAATTTTTCGGCTTTTAGTTTTTTATTTATTTTTTAATTACACCAACCGGCCGGATGTAAAAAACCGGACGACCGGTTCGAGCGGCTCGAGTGGTTAACCGCTCCGGCCGCTCGCCGGCCGCCCCAGAGAACCAGTCCGGCTAAATAGCTGATCCGAGCCGATTTTGAGCCCGGTTGGCGGTTTTGGCGGCCCGACCGGCCGGCTCGGCTCGGTTTTCACAACACTGGTTATAACCCAAACTCAATTTATGTTTTTTGTTGAAAGTTGAAACCAAATGACTCCTTTTTTCCTTAACAAATTAATCATTTGATACACAAATAACTCAGAGAAAATATCATAAACAAACCGCCTCTAATTATCCTAATGCAATTGCAATATGGAATTCCCCTCTTTGGCGCTCTTTGATCAAATCTCTTTTTTTTTTTTTTTTTGACAATTTCGATCAAATCTCTTTGATGTTTGAACTTTGAACACTTTAAAGGCACACAAAACAGGGGGATTGAAACAAAGAGCAAAGGCCAAAGAGGACCAAATAGGGAGTTGACAGGTGGAGGTGGGGCAAACACATACTTGTACAACAAGCCTACTTTCAGTCCATCGCTTTGTGTCTACCAAGGTTGTCAACCCGCGGGTCGACCCGGACCCGGTCGAGCTAGTGGGTTAAGGGTTAATTGGTCACCCATTTTAGCCCGGTTTAACCCGGAAATATGGAAAGAGTTATTATATTGTACTTATCCTGAATACAACATAAAAAACACAACACTACTTAAAATCCAACACACTTAAATAACATTAGCTTAAATTCAACATAGTAAAAATTTAACAAACACTTGAATCTATCACATAACATCAACTTAAATCCATCATAGTTAAAAATTCAACAACACTTAAATCCAACACACTAAATTCACAATAATACATGTGAAAGCTTAACTTAGATAACCAGTTCGTGGAAAGGGAGGGTGAGAGTGCTTACTTTTCAAGAATCTTATAATAAAAGCATGAAGAGAGCGTTAATATTCGTTAATTTTAATATTTATTTAAATAATTATCAGAATAGCATATATAAGAAGCCAAATTTATATAGTACCATTATTTGTTTTAAGTTAAGAAGGAAGAAAAAAAACTCACGAAAATTACAATTTAAGTAAAATTTCAATAGATACTAATTTGAGTTTCCTTATAAGATGTAATTTTGTTTTATGGAAGGAAAAAATTTCCAATTTTGGTAGTTGAAAGAGAGCACTGCTGGCGAAGGAGAGAAGGGGTGGTTGTAAAAAAAAAAAGCCAGGGAATCTTACGGGAAGGACAGCAAAGTGGAAACGGCCCGCTGACCCACTCCTCCGGGTTAACCGCCCGGGTCTGCAGGGTCACACCGGGTTTGACCGGGTTTGACCAAATCCGGGTGGATGCTTTAGTGGGTTGATATGACCCGTTTTTGTGGCCGGGTCCGAGTTAAACCGGGTTGACCCGCGGGTCGACCCGCGGGTTGACAACCTTGGTGTCTACTTAAAAACATTACGGAGACACAAACCGATAAATTAAAGATCATATTATATAAAATTAATAAAAATAAAGTACAAACTCACGTGTTGCTAATTGAATTCTTTTATAGAAAATAATTCATTAGACCAATAGTTGCTAATTGAATTCTAAATTTTAAATTAAAAAAAGAGAAATCAAAATTAATAAATAAATATAATAACGGCAATGATTTGTTTATAAAAAACCCTAAAAGGAAGAAAAGAAATGAGTGGAGAGGCTTGGGGCGGAAGTGTGAAAAACACTGGTGATTGGTGGGGTGGGGAGGAAAGAAAGTTCTCTTGCTAGTTGCTACCGACATTGTAAATTCATCACCAAGAGAAACAAATTATATTGAAAAAACATACATTGTATATTTGTATTGTTGTAGTGTAAAAAAATATTGTATTGTTTCGAAAAATATAAGTATTGGCCTAGTTGTTGATAAATCTTTGTATTGTTGGTACTTGTTAACCAACCAGGTAATTGTAAGGGAAAAAAAAAAACCAGGTATATAAATCTTTAAGTATCGTGACTCAATGATTGTACTTTTTTACTTGTTTCTAGTTTATACTTATAGAATAGGACTTTTAATCATAATACTTGTACAATAAATCAATATAGACGGAGCTTGAAGTATAATAGTTATTAATTAATAACTTCTTGTATTATCTTAATCGTTCAAATTTATGCATAATTACTTTGAATACCCCTTAAATATTCCTTGTATCTTTTTCCTATAAAATAAATATTCACTGTATCTTTCAAATATTTCAAATTCAAACGATAACTTATCGAATTCTACAAATTCTTTGCACTAAAAGCCGCATTGACCCTACAAAACTACTTGTTGCAATAAGAGAAGACTTCACCGCATGTTTTGATTGCAATGAGAAAAGTTCAAGACAAACTTATTCTTCATTTGAACTTCAAAAAGAAGCAAACAACTATAAGTTCACATTTTTTAGATTATCCTAGTTATATTATAAAGTTCTTGATCAATAATATTTTTACAATTATTAATCTATATAATTGAAAATACATGTGTTTAACTTTTTATGTAGGTTAGTTCTAAAAAATTATTATCTTATTATTTGAATTAAATTTAATTATAGTTTATATTACACATTTGGGGATGAGAGTAATTATTAATTTATAAATATATTATTAATTTATCGAGTATTAATTTGTAAAAATTTATTGTAGTGGGAAGATATATTGAGACATCAATTAGTATAAGTGACTTTTTATCTATCATGAAATGCTCTCTCATTATATAATATTCCATATTTTTCATTATTTTGACAATAAGATCAACTTCATTTCTTTTCCAAGAGAAAAAAAAAGTAAGGTCTCATCATCAAGACTGAAATAATATCAAAATCTGTAACCCAATCCATACAATGAATGAAATCCGCAAGAAAATAAGTAAGAAAATCCACTCTAGCATTAAGGATACACAAAGAAAAACATCCAATTGGGTTTTCTTGAAGTAGTAAGCAATTGAAGGAGATAACAAAATCCATATCTAGAATTTTTTTTAGGTGTTTTGTGAGATTCTTTTGTAATTTGTGGAGGTGTAGTGTGTGTAGCAATGTGTATATTTTCACCCAAGTATAAGCAATCACCCTTTTGGTGGTTCCCCTGTCTCTTTTACCTTTTTTTTTTTTTTTCTTCTAAAAGTTGGAAAGTGCTGTATATTTTCCACCTTCCTCTCCCCACCATTTTCTTTCTTTCACCACCCACAAAAACCCAAATGGGGTGGCTTCAATCCCTCTTCTCCCCATTGAAGAAGCTCTGGTTCCGCCTCCACGCCACACCCAGCAAAAGTACGTTTAGATCTCCTCCTTACTCTCTTATCTCTCTGTTTGAACCTAACTGAGTGTAGGAGTGAGGTTCGAAGGAGAGTTTGGGTCGAGAAGAAACGCGAGAGCCGGGCTTGATCAGAGGAACCAGAATCAGAGAGTTGAGTGAGAAAGAGATTAGAAAGAGAAGTAGTTCTTGGAGAGAGAGAATGGTGAAAAATGCGATCCCCCTCACCCACCGTAGTAAATGCCATATTTATAGGCTTCATGGTGGTGGGTGAGTGGTTGACATAGGGAGAGATACAGTGATGTGACTACTGGGATACAATGATGTGACCACTAGCACACTAAGGCTTTTAGGCCATCCCTCTACCTAGGATGAGTCAGAGATCCACTCATGGCCCTGATGTGACTACCCGCTTGGAAGAGGTGCGCTTCCCTCATCTTCTGGTTCAGCCTACGCTAGTCCTCCCCTAGCGCCTGTCATCTCTTCGCGCCTGGACGTGGTTAGCCATGATGAGGCGGCACACTCGGGGTCCTCGCGCTGCCGTGTTGGGGTCTCATCCAGTTGCGCCCGGTTCCTTGGCGTGGTTAGGCCCGAGTCCTATGCCCAACAATTGCCCCCCAGCAGGGGGTGTTTTGTGAACGCCCCCTGTTTAGGTTTCCTCCGGACTCGGGCCGGTCCGCTTGTAGCTATTGGTTGGCGCCGACGTGCGCGATACTATGAACTGGCGTCGCCTTGCCCTGACGCCATGTGCCATCGCGCTCGTTGTTGGGCTTCATTCGGTCGCCACGCGCAATGCTTGGCGCGCGCTGTTGTGCGTACGGGGTCGTTTTCTTCGTGCGCGGTACGCGCTAATGCGCTCGTTGTTGGTCTTTGTTCGCTGAGCGCGATACTCGCGCGCGATGCGCTCGTGGAGTTGTTTTCTTTTCGCAGCACGACGCATGTTTTCCTCTTCCAGGCGTTATCCTCGCGATAAGCGCTCGCGGTTGATCTTTGTTCGTTAAGCGTGATACTCGCGCGCGATGCCCGTCGATGCGCGCATGGGGTTGTCTTCTTGTTGCGACGCAATGCGTGTCTTTCTTTTCCTCGCGGGTGTGCCATGCCCCCCAGTCGGTGCGCGGCACTGGTGGCGTCGCCGACTAATGCCTATGATCGTAGGTGTCAACGTGTCACTGTGTGGTTAGGCTATTTGGGCGGGGGTTTTTTGAATTTCGAAAAGATTTGGTGGGATCCGACTGTTACGGATCCCAATGTGGCTTTAACCTTTCGCATTCCGCCGAACGGCCTTGGCCCTTCGCTTTCCCCCGGATCAATTATAAATATGAGATTGTTGAAGGGAGGAGGGCTCACTTGTTTTCTCCGATCATAGCCTCGCTTTTGTTTTCCTAAGATTTCCCTCCTCCTTCACTTCTCTTTCCTCGAGATTTTCTCTCCTCCTTTTACTACCCCAATCCTCTTCTGCTGTTGATCAACTTCGAGTCGATATCATGTCCAACATCAACAACCAGGAGGCCGAGGTCGTACAAGGCGAAGAAGGTAATGTCTCTCCTCTCTCGCATACTTCTTCTGACCATTCCGGTGGTGGGAATGGAGGTTCTGGGGATTGGAACGGTGGATCCGACGGTGGGGGTGGCAGTAGTGGTGGTGGACTTCCGGCGACGCCGACGTTCGATGCTAGGTCGGGCGATGGGGCTGGAAGCTCTTCTGATCAGGGTATAATCGTTTCCGGTAGTGAGGAGGTGGCGCGGCCGGCTCGGGGGACTCTGATTATTCGGCGTAACCAGGGTGGTGGGCCGGTTGCCGGCGACGAAGCGGCCGACGAGGAACTCGCCGACGAGGAAGTCGCCGATGGTGAGGTCGGCGACGATGAAGTCGCCGACGATGAAGACTTCGGCGATGAGACAGAGCAAGGAGACTTTGATGTGCAATTCGCGCCGCGAGCAGTCGAGCGCGTTACCGAAGCCGTGGCCCGCTTGGGGCCGCAGGGTGTTGGCTCTACATACCGCGTGATCGAATGGGCGGAGATGTGGGGTGACCAGCCGGCGCCGTCTGACAATCTCAAGCGCGGACCCGAGCACTCCTCGACGTATGACGTGGATGACGTGGAGGAGTTGGTTCGCGGACTGGGTTTGCCCCCCAGTTGGGAGTACGCCGCTCCCTCGGTGCGCAGTATGGTGGGTAACTGCCCCCCTGGGTGGTTCGGTGTGTATGCCGAATACTGGGTTATGGGGTTCAAGTTCCCCATCGACCCGCTGTTATGCGCCATATACGACCGCCTCAAATGCTCCATCGGTCGGCTCTCCCCGTCAGTGATCATGCACGCGAGTTGCCTTCGTCTCGCGTGCAAAAGGCTTAACATCGTGCCTACTTACGGCTTATTCCGCAAGATGTACAAAATCAAGGAGCCGACAAAGGTGAGCGACTGTCTCTCCATCCAGCGACGCGACCACCGCCCCGATGGCTTCGTGTACGGCTCGCCCAAGTTGAAGAAGACTTGGTTTGGTCAGTTTTTCTATGTTAAGCCCGCTCCCGGGGAATGGGCGAGTGGGTCGCTGCCGGAGCCCACCACCTGGATGAAGGGCAGTATAGCCGGTTTCGAGTCCGACGTCGGTAAATACGACGGGCTCAACGATGAGTATGAGGCTTGCATGCCTCACCGCATGAATTTATACAAGCGGGGAGTCCGCGAAGCCTGTTTGGAAGAGCTCTTTGGAGATGGTTAGTTATGTTTCCTTCCTTTTTGTATTCTATCTTATTAACCGCTCTCTTACGATTTATTGGCGCAGGTGTTGACTTCTCTTCCCTCGCGAGTATGATGTCGGTGGATGACGTCGCGCCGCGTGCCGACAAGAAAAGGAAGAAGAAGGTCGGCGCGGCGCCAAAACCCTCGAAGCGGAAGGAGGTCGAGCAACCGCAACCGCAGGTTGTAGAGAGGCCCCGCAAGACCCTTCGCATAGCGGAGCCAACCGTCCAAGCGGCGAAGCAACTGCCCGCGACGCCACAATTGTCCGCCGCGCAGCAGCTCTCACTGGCGCTTTCGGAGCCCGAGGCGACGGTGAGCCGGCCCGCTCGTCGAGGGGGGGATGGGGCTGGCAGCTCATCCGGGACATCCGCTACCACTCCTCCCGTCAGCGCTGTACCTCCTTCCGCCGCCGTCCACCAAGTCCGCGACGTGCGGATTCACACCGCCGCGGCGTGCAACTTGGTGTCAGCCAATCATGCGCTTCGGGCGATCGGGCCCATTCTCTCCGTTCCCCCGCGGGTGGAGAAGACGGACCCTCTTCACGACCTGGCGCAGATCCATTTCGCGGTAAGACTCGGTTTAGGTTAAGGTTTATTTTCTTAGCCTTCCCCCCTTCTTTTTTGCTTGGCTAAGACTCGTGGCGTTGCAGGGTTTGTCGGCGACCTTTCGCGCTCAGCAAGAGCGCGCCTCGATGCGCGCCAAGATGAAGGCCGACGAGGCGCAAATCGTGCAGCTGGAGGGGAAGGTCCTCGGGGCGAACAATCGTGCGGAGGACGCTACTTCTAAGGCCAACGAGGCACTGGAGTCACTCGGCCTTTTGCAGAGCCGATTGGCCGCGGACGTGGAGGCGGCCAAAGAGCAGGTGCGGAACGAGGAGCGCACTGCTCTCCGAGAAGAACTGGAAGTCTCCTTTTCTGAGAGATTGCGCAAAGCTCGCGAGGAGTTCCAGAAGGAGAAGGACGACCTTGTTCGCCTTCACACCGTTGCTAAGGCGAAGGCCGTTCGCGCAGCTGAAGTCGCGGCCGTCCGCCAGTTCAAGTCTTCCCAACCTTTCGGGAAGATCATGGCGGATGCCATGACCAAGGCCGTGATAGCGGTTGGTAAGAACGTCCGCCCTGAGAATCCGGGGATGCGCTGGGACACTCGCGAGATGGTTCAGCACGTCAAAGTGTGGATCAGCGAGAAGCGTCCTTTGGATTCTGACTCCGAGTCCGAGGAAGAGGAGGAGGAAGAAGCGGAGCGCCGGGAGGAGGTTGAGCGTCCGACAGGGGAGGAGAGGAAGGATGGAGAGGTGGCCGACGAAGATGAGGAGGACGAGGAAGAGGAGCGTCCTCTATTGCGCCGCAAGTTGAGCAGGGAGGGCGAACAGCCCGATACTAGTTCTGCTTAGATGTGGCCCAATTGAGCCTTAGCTGTTTTGTTGTTTTCTTGTGCTCTTTTTTTTTTGTTTTCTTGTGTGTAGCCGCGCACGGCATCATGGCTCCCTCCTTGATTAGAACAAAAGATTTTCGACTATGTTTGTGTGCGCGAATGAGTAATAACTTTGTGTGCGCGAATGAGCGACAACCACTGCTTTTGCCTTGTCCCCTCGCGCGGAGGATGTGCGAGCTGGGTGCTCATTTTTTTTCTTTGTGTGCGCGAATGAGCAATAACTTTGTGTGCGCGAATGAGCGACAACCACTGCTTTTGCCTTGTTCCCTCGCGCGGAGGGTGTGCGAGCTGGGTGCTCATCTTTGTTCTTTCGAACTTAGGCGCGAATAGTGCTAGACTATTGCTAATATTTTGTTCTTTCGAACCGTGTCCTTTTGCGCGAATAGTGCTGGACTATTGCTAAGTTTTGTTCCGTGGAACTGAGCGCAGAGTGCTGGACTCATACTAATTTTTTGTTCTTTCGAACTGATTGGGCGCGAATAGTGCTGGACTATTGCTAAGTTTTGTTCCGTGGAACTGAGCGCAGAGTGCTGGACTCATACTAATTTTTTGTTCTTTCGAACTGATTGGGCGCGAATAGTGCTGGACTATTGCTAAGTTTTGTTCCGTGGAACCATGTCCTTTTATTGATTGCGCTAATGCGCTATTACAAACGTGGTACACGTTAACCGGCGCGGTGGTATTTCCTTAGATTCTGCGCATTCCATGTTCTTGGAACCTTGTTGCCCCCCAGCTCGCTGAGTTTGAATGTGTTGGCGCCTACCACTTCGCGGATCAAGTAAGGGCCTTCCCATGTCGAGGCAAGCTTCCCGTGCCTGGGGTCAGGGCGGAAGTTCCGCCGCAGCA